GACAGATTGCCCCCCAATATGCACAGTGTGTTAGAATATGCATATGTGTGTGTGTGTGTGTGTGTGTGTGTGTGTGTGTGCACACACACACACACACACACACACACACACACACACACACACACACACACACACATATGCATATTCTAACACACTGTGCATATTGGGGGGCAATCTGTCATCTCGATGTTGCCAGAAACAGGATGCAACTTTCCCAGACCTTGAAATAAACCTGTGACTGTTTGTACCCGACTGTCAGTTAGATTAGCATATTCTCTTTTTTAAGGGCAGGTGAAAAACAACAACAAAAAATAATTGCTTATTGTAATATAATAAAGAGTAAAACCCTATTACTCTCTAGGAACCTTTTTCCCTCGTGGCTTTTCTTGAAGGAGGACTCCTCTGTGTGAGGCTCATCCTAAGGTTTATTCAGATTTGATTCTTAAGCTTTTCTAAAAAGAAAAATGGCTCTCTGTTCTCACTCAGGTCTAATAACGCAATATCCTTATCTTTCTTGTGTTCACTCTGATTGACGGGTGATGAATCAGCTTGACTGCCATCTGTCTTCATTACTCAACCAAACCTGTGGGATTGTGACAAATATGAATGGATTCTTCAAAGTTCTTGCAATCTTTTTTTACGTTCTCCTTATTTTCTTACAAATATCTCACAACAATGTCTTCTTTCAGACTACACAAGCAGGAAGTGTATTCCCCTTCAAATGACAAACAGAGTTTAATTTATAGAGTTGCGAAAAAGTGGCTCAAATTCACCTTGATGCACCGCTGTGGCGTTGTGCTGGCCTGACCTCCCCTGCAGAGTTTACCCCGGCGCAGAGCAGAATGAAGTTTGACCCTGTGGATGTCCACATGCGAGCAGAGGTTGCCTATTGGCATGAAGCAAAGAACTGCGGCACTAAAGTGTTTCACTTCCACAAAGTTAGAGGACTTATGAAAGACGGATTAGAAAGAAATGTCTGCAATCAGTTCAGAGAAGGCAGAGATTTTGTGACTTCACTTTTCTGTATGGGTAAAAGCTGTACGAACACTTGATCATTCGTTACATACATTTTAGATTCTGCAAATCATTTGATCTTAATGTATACAATCGAGTTTCCCTTTTAAATATCTCCTATTATGCAAAATCCACTTCTACATCAACATGTGTCCCCTCTGTGTAAAGAGACTCTGAAAGTTTCAGGAACATTTCTATAAAAACCTGTCTGAAAATGAGCTGATCAGATTTTGGCCACTTTATGATGTCATAACGATGTTTTGGCTTGTGTAACCAT